TTCACAATTGTTTGGCATGATCCACGCTGTGCGTGAGGGGGCGTATTAGAATCCCACATTGTTTGGGAAAATATAAATGATCCACTTAATAAGGTGAGGGCAATCCTCCCCTAATAAGTCGGTTTTATTAGGTGGAGTTAGGCCAATATTCCTAACAGGAATTGTCATGACTACTTAAACAACATTCTATTTTATTGATTCAGGTGGATGTAAATGGTTCCAATTCTGCTCCAATATACAGCTTTCTGAAGTCAAGCAAGGGTAGCCTCTTTGGAGATAATATAAAATGGAACTTTGCCAAATTCCTCATTGACAAAGAAGGGCACGTTGTTGATCGTTATGCTCCCACCACGTCTCCTCTTAGCATGGAGGTAACCCATCTCTAGTGCTACGCGGTAATCTCTAATGAATAATATGATAATGGGCGTCTCGTAAATGTTACGCTATTTCATCTTTGCAGAAGGATATAAAGAAGCTGCTGGAGAAAGCTTAAGCAATGTAGTGGTCTAGTTCGTCTGTTCAGCTACTAAAGGTGATGGCGTATTTGCAACAATAAACTGAACTTTATTTTCAATAAATTTGGGGCAGCTATATGAATTATGGATCACTTGTATAGCTAGTTTTCACTTGTATAACTACTTTTCGTGTATTTGCAACAATAAACTGAACTTTATTTTCAATGAATTTGGGCCAGCTATATGAATTATTGATCGCTTGTATACTTTTTGCTCATGACGTCAAGAAGAAAAATTCATCAAATAGTGCATCATTCGATACATAAAAGACTTGTTGATGGATTATTCATAGAAAAAAATTATATTGAAAATCATGCATCACCCCCAGAAAACCTGCATCAACCCTCTTATCTTGGGCATCCGCAAAGCTTCCCAAAATTCAGGGGAAGCATTATTTGTGCATGGGGGCTGAAAATAGTGCTCGGAAGTACTTCTATGTAGAGTCTCCTCCCATCTGCAATATTACAAGTTTTCACATTATTCTTCAGCCATCCATGGACAGCGCCGCCACCTATATTTTTTCGGAATGAAATTTCCCGTCCCATTCTGATGGCCTGCCTCCTTCTCCACCCTTCTGGAAACTGTACAAGATCAGCACCGTCTTAATCTGCCCAGGGGCACAGAGCACTTGTGAGTATAGTAAAGCTTGCTTTCTATGCAGCAAAGTATCGTTTTCTGTGTTTCATTAGTTTTACGGGAGTCTGTACTCAGAACTTACCTCTCGGATTGCATTTTTGTGCAAACAGGCAGTAGCAAAAAAGATGAAAAGGAACCCAAGGAAATGCTTTGTGAAATAACTCATTTTCTCTACCACTTTTTGAACTTCTTCATGCAAAGTAATGATTCTGTGCTGCATTTCTACTAAAATTTACATCGAAAGAGGGTCGAAAATAACGTATTTTTCTGTGAAACAACTGGTGTTCTTGTAGAGCACAGCTGCATAATATGAAACGAGGAAATGATGCAGAAAAACCTCCTGATTTATTTAATCCATTCATGTTAACGTAATGTACAGTATAATTTAGAGCAGCTATCTTGGGGTTCTTAGCCGGCAATCAAACAAATATTTAACTAATCCCGATTTAGTAAGTTGGAACTATTAATTCTATTAAAGGAAATTGTCTTTATAAGTATTTTTAACAATATCTACATAAAGTTATATTTTTTGTAATTTACTTAAAGTTTCTATAACTTTGCAAACACAATTGATAAATAATTAAAGTGGAAATCACATAAAAGCCTACTTTTGAAGATCCCATTTCATAAATCATATGTTATGTTAACATTTCAAAAATCAAATATTTTATTAATTAATATATTATTATTAAATTAATATATTATCAAATTAAATTAATTTATAAAACAACCTACCTCCCTCTCCCCCTCATTTCCCCTCAAACCTTTATTTTTCATCACTCTCAGCCTCATCTCTCTCGTCGCCGGTGCGACTGTCGCCACCGCTCAACCAACACCAAAATCCCGCTACCGTCTTCGCCCACTGTCGACGTGAGCGATCTAGTCACCGCTTCAGATTTTTAGGGTGGTTTTCTAGTCGACCTGCCCTTTCGAAATCTGGCGCGACGAGCTTCGATGCAGCGACAATGGTGGTGGGGATGTGTGCTATTGTGTAGTGGTGTTGGCGACGTAGTGGGTGTGTGGTGGGTTTGATTTTTGGGCTGTGATGGTGGTGGGCGTGTGTGCGTTGCTGGTTGGGATGGTGGATCTAAAAATGGAAGCGGTGTTCACAGTTGATGGTTGCAATGGTTTGGGCGATCTAGTTTTTGAGCGTTGGTGGTGTCGTTTGCTGGTCGTAGTGCCTCTGGCTGTGTGCGGTGGTGTTGTGTGGGGGGTGTCGATGGTTTTGGTCGGGTGGTTTTGGTGGTGTCGGGGTGTCAATTTATTTTTTAGACAGCGGTGTTGCCTTCGGGCAGTGTTGGTTGTTTTGGCAGCGACTGTGGTGGTACAGGTGGCGGTCGACGTTGGTGGTGACGGTGTCGGTGTTAGTAGTGGTTGTTCTGGTGAATTTCTTGTAGTTTTGTGTTTCTGAGTCTAATTAATTTGGTGTGGGTGGTGTGAACGGAGATGGAGGAGATGGTGGTG